TGAGATTATGTCCTATCAAATCCGTTTGGCTAACGACTTCACCATACAAGAGAGCGGTGGGTAATAGTGGATACCCAATGACGGTCATTTTATAGACTGCTTCCTTAAACTCCCTTATAGTATGGCTTCGTAAATGAGGCGTACTAGCGATTTAACTGACTTGTCTTATACATATAATATATTAATTTTTAATTATATATACTATAAGGTGTATTTTAAAACTTTTCTAAAATACTAGGTTTAATTTTAGAATTTTGAAACTAATATAAAATTAGTGTAATTTAAAAATAAACCAATTTGATTTAGTCTTTATCTTTTAATTAACAATTAATTAAATTAATTAAATTATAAGGATAATTCACAAATTTAAGATATTGGATATCAGATTACCAAATTGAATATTCAGGTTTTAAAAAATTAAAATAATATTAACTAGAGTAATTATCCTAATCAATTGTGAATTAAGTAAAACAATTTGTTGAACATAGGGTTCACCACGACGTGGCAATTAATTGCCACGTCGTGGGAAAACGAAGAAAAACTCGGATTTGATGATCCCCACGTCGTGGCAGAAAGGGACCACGACGTGGTGCTGTGACAGAATGAAGATTCTGCCAAAACTCCAATTCAGGTTTTTTTTAAGTTCAAGCAATGTACTATCAATTGTTAGACAACCGTTCTGATACCACTGATGAGTTTTACATGCAATAGCGCGGATAAATCCTTATACGCTTAAGGGTACATGCAACCTATTAGATCTAGTCATAACATTATTAAAGTAACATGCTATTAAACAACAAGAACTCTATGACCCTAATGAAATCAAAATTCATATGAAAAGGTTACATACCTTTTTATTGTTGTAGTAAATAATCAAACCAATCCTTCTTGAAAAACTCTTGGAAGCTAGCACCAGAAATATCGTACCTCTGATGGTTCACACCCTAGCAACTAGGAAACTTGAAGAGAGAGAGAGAGAGAGAGAGAGAGGAGCTGAGAGGGACAAAATTTCGGCTATGCTCTAAGAAAATGGAGTGGCCAAAAATTGTAGGGTGGAAGACTCTATTTATAGCTGATAGAAAAACCCTAGATAACTCTTACTTGATTAAAATAACAATATTTCAAATCAGGTAATTATCTGGTTTTCTAATTATCTTCAACCAATATTCTAGAAACCCTAGAATCTCTCCCCAAAACCATCAACCTCTATGGGGAAGGTTCTGGAACCCTTTTGTTGAACTATTGAACAATTACAACTTAGGTCCTTACACTTAATTCTAATTAATTTCTGATTAATTCTTAATTAAATAATTCTTATTTCTAATTAATATATTATTATCATAATATATTAACGGATCATTTATTTCTATTTATTAATCATATAATAAATCAATAAATCAGTCTCTCTCTCAAAAGTAATACTATTTAATTACTAGGTTTGAGGGCAACCCAAAAGGACTTTGCTAATAATTCAAGTATATACCAATTTAGTTATTGGATTAGACACATAATCTAAAAAATAGACCCGTTCGGTTGAAAAACACCGATTGAGTCAAAATGGACTCTGATAACTATTTTTTACGTTTTCACACATTGATTGACTTTTGAAATGAATGATTGATGGTTTTCGTTGACTTAAAAATAAAAATTTTTACTTAGTATTTTTGGGACGTTACAAACAAGGCCTCCATTCAATCAAACATGCTCACAAAATTTAAATGGGGCTAGGGTTTCATTGAGAGATGTTGGAGGCAAAGAAGGATACCCTAGGTCATGAGTTAATGACTTTAAATATGGAAGAAACCCTAAAAATTTATGGGCTTGGGTTGCAGTTGCTGTCACGTCGTGACACTCTATTTGTCACGTCGTGACAACCATTTCGAACACGTGATCTTTAACTGCCATGCCCACGTAGTGACAACCTTCATGTTACGTCGTGACATATGGGTTTCCTTAAAAATCATGTATTTGACTCATTTATACCATCCACTGATCCAATCTAGGAAATGGGTGTTACACAAGACTTGAACCCAAACCTAAAAAATAGAAAGTAACACCTGATACCGTTGAACTAGAAACCATTTCATATGTATCACTTATATTAACCTAATTTGAGAGGTTGTAGTGATTAATGTCCCAAGGTTGCACAGTAAAATTTATAGGAATTAAGTTTACACTTAACATAATTTGAGAATTTTTTTCTATAATACGGTGGAGCTAGTTTATACCAAAGTGTCTTAGGACCCAATCATTTAAATAAAAAAATCATTTAATAATTATATTGGAAAACTTTTATTACCTACCTCAAAAAAAAATTAGGACATATCTTAAAGTATTTGGACAAAATAAAAAACAAATAAGTAAAAGAAATGATGGAATTTTTAACTTAATTTTGCAAATAAAATAGTTAATGTTTATCAAAATCTATACATGTAAGAGATAAAAATAAAGAGATGCTTGTTTGATTTATATAAAAAAAATAATTAAATGTTATAGTTAAACATGTAAAGCAACACAACTTCTCTTACATTGTTGGTTGTAGGAGATAGTTATTGCAAGTGAACTCTTTAAAAAGAAAAAATGGAGACCCTGCAAAATAATAAATCCAATTTTAGTGGTCACATAGGTCGTTACTATTTTTTTAAACCGTTCGTGTTTTTTTTTTTTTTTTGGCAAACTAGCTGGTTTTTATTAATTATATTTAATTAGGAACAACCTGTTTTTTTATTCTATATCCACTATTAATAATATGTCTCTTAGTTATTCTTTTTAATTATTTTATCTATTTTTGTTTAAAATACTCAAAATGACAAAATCTATATAAAAAAACAGATTATTAGTTTATTTATTACCGCAGCAACAAACTAAAGAAACACATTCATAAGGTATGTTTTATTTAACTTTTTTTGGGAATGTAATAAATCCTATCAATCTATTGTAACAATAGTTAATACAAAAATAATTTAATTAGAAACTGATCGTTTCATAAATTTTATTCTGTTTTTATTTAAATAATTAAAGTTCAGAACTTTTATATTACTTATAAAATCAGATATAATGCTTGAGAATAAAAAAGAAAAAAGTGGACGCATTTTGTGGCCATGATAAATGAATATTATGAGAGAGGAGTAAGATATGAAGTCCCTACTCCTCTCTCATTGTTTGTCTCCCAAAACGTTAAAGCAGAAAGTTGGGGGACCAATAATGTAAGTTTGTGGGGTTAAGCATTCATCATGCTGGGACCCACCCAAGATGAACCCCACTTGTTGGAAATATGACACATATAGATTCCCTTTCTTTTATTTTATTTAAACATGTAAAAATAAATATTTTTAATTGAACTTATTTAAAAAAAATACATTTTTAAGTTATATTTAAGAACATATACTATGAGTTTATACTAAAATAAAAAACAGAATTCCTAAATAAAAATTGATAATAGCTTTAACTAAGAGACCAAAGAGACATGTTATTCACCGTTTGTTTGGTTGTTATTATTTATACATCTTTTATTTATTTTATACCTTTTCATTTGACAAAAAATGGATACAATAAGTAATTTGGGATATATATTTAGTAAAATAAGTTAAAAGAAAATTAAGATAGGATATGGGAAAATGTCAATTGGGACTAAGAGGCTAAGAGCATCCACAATGATGAGTTTAATAGTGACAAATCTATATGTCATTTTATGGGTGAAACTCTACCACTGTAAGATGTCACATTGACATTCAATGAATTTAGAGTTCATTGGTCATTGAACTTTTCAATAGGAAAAAAGAAAGTTTTTTAATTCTTAAATATTTATTATAAATTATATTTTGTAACATTCTATTGAACTTTATAGAGTTCAATGCATTGTAGGAAAAAAAAATTATAGAGTTGTATGGATTGTAGAAAGATGACGTGACAATCTATTGAACTCTATAAAGTTCAATGCATTGTGGATGCCCTAAAGTAGATACTACATCACCTAGAAGAAAAATATACCTAAAATATATATGTTTAATTTGCAAATAACAACACAACAACATATTTTATTACTTAACAATAGGTGTGAGACCCATGTATTACATGAGTTTATTTTAAAAAAATTAACTATGAAATTTTAACAATTTGAAAAGTTTGAATTTATAAGAAAAATGAGAAATTTTTTGAATTATTAAAATTAATGAGGCTTTAATGTATTGAATATATACATTATATATAAAAACTCTTCTAATAAATACCTTACATATATATTACCTTACATATAAAATGTGAAATTTTAATTTAATAAAATGAAAAATACAATAAAATGACAAATGGAAAATAGAAAATTTAAAAAATTCTAGAAAATGTCATGTGTCTAAATGAAGGAGAAGAGGACATGTGGCAAAAAACCTTCATTTATTATAGTAGATTTGAAATATGCATCGACAACAAAACTTTATTCTAGTTATTGATATGGAAATTGAAGTTTAAAAATCATCATATAAATACTTCAGTTTTTATTAAGGAAGTATAACCCAAGTTAAGATATCATTAAATGCAACTAATTACAACCAATCCAGCTCATATTCCTTTAAACCAAAACCAATATATATCAATACTTAATAATATAAAAATGGATTAAAATGAAAGTAAGATGTAAATATTGGTATATCATTTTACATAAATTACTTTAGATAAAGCTTTTTTTAAGAAATTTAATCATTTACTCTTTAAACCTCAACAACAAAATAAGAAATTAGATAATAATCGATTATGATTCATTGTATTAAACCCATAAAAACCTATTAAATAGTTAATTTTCCCATTAGTTTGTTCATAATAAATGTTCATAAGCTCTTCACAACTATTAAACATAAATGCATTTTAGCTTAATACAATATATGTAATAAGATGAGATACTATTTGCATGCTTGCTATACAAAATTTATAGAGAGATTGCTGATTCTCATCATCAAATATTCATATTGCAAACGATGATCACAACCAAATGAAAATAAAAAATAAAACTATAAGTTTACATAGCAGCAACAGTCTCGGAAGCACCAGATGAAGTGGTAGCAACAGAAGTCTTCGTTGACATCGAGCACTTGTCTTTCTTCTCGTCTAAATTCATTTGTTGTTGTCTACACTCTAAACTGCAAAATGCACTGTCACCTCTGCAAAGATGATGTTTTTATGTAAGTTTATTATTTAGTTTGTAATCAAGAAAAATTTTTATAAGCATATTTCAGTTTTATGAATCCGCCACTGTCTTGATATGTGTGTAGGGTTTCAGAAGTGAATTAATTAACTTCTTTGATGTGTTTGAGAATCATAAAAAGATTCAATAAGTATGAGAGTGTCTTGATTTCATGATTACTGATTATGAAAACAATAATAATACGGAGGCGTTTATGTAGTAAAAAACTTTGGATTAATATGTATACCTACCTGTACATGAAGATATCACGGCCGGCGATGAGCTGGCGAGTGCAGAGGTGACAAGCCTTCAAGAAATGAGATGTTTGGGTGTAGTCGGCGGAATTACGCCGGTGAATCTTGGAAGTAACGGTGGGTGAGAAGAAACGTGGATCAACCGTACCATCGGCTGATCTCGGTGGATTGATGGTGTTGAAGGGGTTGTTGTGGTGATCATGTGGTGACTGAGAATTGCCACGGCCACCGTCGATGGTGGTGGTGTGGTTGAGATCTAAGGAGAATTCCGTCATGCTGGTGGTTCTCTTCATCGGAGGCCTTTGTCTCTTACCCAACAACATGGTTGTAGCTAGAGAGAAAGAGGATGGGCTTTAGAGAGAGAGAAGGGTGGTGATGGTGGTGGTGGGAGGAGTGAGAGTGGGGGAAGATAATAGAGGGAGCCAGAAAGCATGGAGAGAATCTCGGCCGTTGCTTTTATTTTTAGGATCCTTCACATTATATGGCACAAGTCTACATCATCCACCACTTTTTATTTTATTTTGTTTAATAATAAGATGGCGTTTCAATTTTCAACTATATAATTATAGATTTGTATATATACATACCTATAAATATACTTACTATGTGTGTATAGATGCTTATTTTTGCATTTATATATACGCACATATGCAGTAGAGATGTGTATATGAAACAAAATAGACGAGTACGATAGACTCACACTACAAGAAATTAGAGTATTACCGGCCACAATCGTCGTCGCTAAAAGTGGGGTTTGTCGCCGCTAATAGTATTAGCGGCGACACGTCGTCGCTAAAACGTCGACGCTGATGCTTTGTCGCTATTAATCAAACTGTCGTCGCAAAAGACATGTCGCCGCTATTGCTTGATGTCGCCGGTAATAACCTATCGTCGTCACTAAAGGCGTCGCCAGTATATATATATATATATATATATATATATATATATATATATATATATTTCACATTAAAATTGAAAAAAAAAACTTGTATTATATTAATTAATCTAATCCTACATCATTTCATTCCAAAATATTAATACAACATCCGTTTAAAATACTTGTCCGATTTAACATATAACAAAATATCGAAAATACTAGTCTAAAATACATCCACAAACAAAACATAAAAAAATCCTACAACTATCTACTCGTCATCGTTGTTCTCCTCGTTTCCTCCAGTTTCATTTCGTTGTGGCAACGAACGAAACCAATCTTCAAGTGCAGTAATACATGCCGGATCTTTTAACATTGTTTGAAGCATTTTCAACTACAATTAAAACAACATAGTCTTATAAGTTAAACTAGCATTATAATATTCTAAATACAAAATATACATTCCACATATTGCATATAAAACATTATAGCATTGTACTATAACTAACAATTACCAACCTACAAAATATCATTACAACATTGTACTTTCATAAACTAACAATTACTAAGCTATAAAATACCAATATATCAAACTATAACCAAAATAACAATTACCAATATATAAACTATTATCAAACTAACAATTACCAAAATTTGAAACTATTACTAAACCAACATTTTAAACAATTACCAAAATTAAATAGTCTTGTCACCTGTGATTGTGGCGGTGGCTGTGTCAGTGGTTGTTCCTGATCGTACATCGACATAATCGTAGAAGGTTTACGCCCGATGCCTCTGATATGGCCTTGTCGAACACCCAGTATTCTTTCAAAACAATTTTGTGTCTCCTTTGGTGTTAGACCGTTGGCTTCAGAAGAAGCTTGAGTTTGTTGACTGATCTCAAGGAGTAAAGCATTCTGTATTTTCAAAAAATGATAACACATCATAAAAATTAGATTACTAAATACCCATTGACGATATAAACACTTATATGAAAATACAAATTAACCACTAACGTATTGTTGCTCGACTGCAGGACTACTAAATACTCCTTGGTGATCAGGATTGGCCTTTCGAAATGCTTCGATTCGAGCGATGTCCTATTTAACATTAAAAATTAGATTAATTATAATTTAAATAAATAGTTAAATATATCATAACATACTTCTTTGAAACATGCATTGCTATACGAGCACGATCCCCCTCTATTTACAACTTGTTGTTGTGCACGGACTCCTTTGTTTGACGCCGAACGCTTTAGAAATTCAGGAGTTTGAAAATGTTCGACTGCGTGCGCCCAATTTTCACTTGGCATATACGTTCAAAGGGGTGTTCATCCATATATACCTCCCAATCTCACGGGTAAACCAATTACCATGGTTCCCGACAGGGAATATGTCAGCTCCCTATCGAAATCCAAATCTACATGCTTTCCCTTGTTTGCCCGTATCAGCTTTGATAGCTGGATGTTTTTTGCTAGGCCTCTTCTTTTCTTAGGGAGCTCAGCTGAAAAATATAATTAAAAATATTAATCACGATAGCTTATAATAAATGGATAAAAATAGCTAATAAATATATCATAATAAGACTTACCATCCTGTTCGTGTTGTCCACGACCAAATCCTACTGGAGGTGGTGGATCCCCGGCTCCATCACCTCCATGTCCTAAGCCCATAACATCTGCCATCACGTAGAAGAGTATCGCCCAACTAAACCCCATATATAGCCTGCAAAATTACAATATGAATAGAATTATAGCAACATATTTTTTTTTCATTTATTCCACATATTACATACATAAATACACACATTATATATACAAACACACATAAACATGTTTTCTACACATACTCATTATAACATCATACTTTTTTTTCTATTATAACTTTTTTTGATTTTTTTTCATACATACAAATTACATATATAATTTCAAAACTCATACATTACATATATAAATACATTTTTTTTTTCATTTTTACCACATATTACATACATAAATACATACATTATATATACAAATACACATAAACATGTTTTCTACACATACTCATTAGAACATCATACTTTTTTTTCTATTATAGCAACCTAATTTCTTTCATTTTTTCATACATACAAATTACACATTCACATTCACAAATAAAACACATACAAATAACATACACATACAAAAAAAACTAATGTAAAAACACATAAATGCATCATACATATATAAACACATTCTATTTATAAAATGAAAGATGAAAAATGAACCTGTGGTAGTCTAATTTCAAAATTTTCCGGCAAAAATTTCACAGATTCGGCAACAACTCCAACAACAACACAGCCTTAAATTAAAAGCTTAAACTAAGTAAATAAACATCAAAACATAAGAAGAATCGAAAATAGGGAAGAATTTCGACCTTAAATGGGTAAAAATTCCGGAATTGAAGTATGATCGTCTCCTCTTGGTCGTCGGTAATGGAGGTCTAGGTCGCCGGTATTGGTGGCAATGGAGGTTTGGACGGCGATGAAACCTTTTTGTTTGTGCAATGGAGGTTTGGACGGCGGCGTTGGTGGTGTAAGAAAGACCGGTGATGGAGAGAATGAGAGAAAAGGGCAGACATAATACGCAATAAACAGCGAACTGAAGGGGTTATCTGCGCGGACCTTTAGCGGCGACGGCTATTAGCGGCGACACATGGGTATTAGCGGCGACGAATGGGTATTAGCGGCGACAAGCCTGGAGGGAAAAGTCAGCGCCTTTTTTCACGCCATTACAACCGTTCGATTGAATACAGATCGAACGGATAGGGTTCATTTGACGCGGATCGCTACGGTTGAGTATTAGCGGCGGCGGTTTTAACGGCGACATGTAACGCGTCATTTACATGTCGCCGCTAATGCCTAGTATCGTTGCTAAAGCCGTCGCCGCTAATACCTATATTTCTTGTAGTGTCATAGAAGTGATATTTGATTCTTATTCTATTGATAATAAAAACAAGACTAAATTACAATTTTGGTCCCTATGTTTAGTCTTTGTTTGGAAATTGAACACCACTAATTTTAATTGTTGGCAAATTCATCAGTTTTCCTCTCTCTCTTAATTGTCAAAAAATTTATGCTAAGTACGTACGAAGTGACTAATTAAAATGCCCTTGTTTATGCTTTTTTGGTTTCTGTTAGTATGTTAGTAAGTTAGATGTTTTTAGGGTTTTAGGCCCAAAGCCTTTAAGGTGTAAATGTTATCTATATATTCGTATGTAATCTTCATTTGAGCACCGAACAATAATATCAAAACAATCTATTATCTTGCATTGTATGAGAGCTCTAAGTTAAAATCATATTGCTGACCACAACCCACAACAGTCGCCCTCTACCTCCAACGATATTCTCTCATAGTCGTCGGATATGCATTCATGATGCTCTATATTTTTCATTTTTTTTATCTTAAATAATAAAATAGTCACCGACACTAAGCCAAAGCTATTTCCTCAACTTCTTCTATTGCCTTGGAGTACCAATGAAATTTCGATGGATGTCGAGAGAAGTTGAGTTTAATTAAGTTTACATGCATTGATAACATTGCATGCATTAAGTTTCAAGAAAAAAATTGTTTTGATTGTCACCAATCCATGCACATTGATGGTTCTTATCATTTTAGCATTTGAAATATTGATATTTAAACGCTTTTTTTTTAATATAGATTTTACCCTAACAATTAGTTTTTTGCGCCTTAAAGCAGAAACTTTATAATTTTTTACATTTGTCATGCAGGAACATGCTATCATAAGTTTTTAAGTTACCATGAAATAAAATTCGCAAGAAACCTTTTAAGTTTACAAATATTTTATGTTTTATCATAAATATTTTTTTTTCATATTACACGTATTTATATATAAACAATATACTTATATAAAAAATGTGTATTAAACATCATATTTATATTTTTTTAATTGCTATTTTTTCTATACGAGTTTTTTTGCTAAGTTGTACGGTTTAAAATATAAAAAACGTTTTTAATAGTATAATTATATGTTTTAGAAGTATAAATATGTATCTTTACGTATTTAGAAAGATAGATACATTTTTTAAAAGTATAAATATGTATATATAGGTTTTTTTAGAAGTATAAATACGCTTTTTATGTATTTAGATGTAGATTAATCAAAAACATAAAAATATGTATATTTACTTTAAATACATAAAATATATATTTATACTTCTAAAAATATATTTATATTTTTAAAAATATAACTATAATTCTTAAAACATAAAAATACGTATTTATATTACTAAAAAATATATCTATACTTTCGAATATATATATATATATAGATATATATATATATATATATATCTATATATAGATTAGATATATATATAAACTTCTAAAAAATAAAATACTTAGCTAACCTTCTAACACTATATCTATACTTCTAATATATATATATATATATATATATATATATATATATTTATACTTTTCTAAACATATTTATACTATTAAGAATGTATTTTTATACTTAAGACCGTATAAAATAACAAAAAAAACTTGTATATAAGAACTTTAAAAAATATAAATACATTTTTTAATTAAACATTGTTCGTTTATAAATAC